TTCCCTTACAAACCTTATCCTTTCTCTACCAGACACCTGGAAAAGGAAACAGATGCCACACATGTAGTATCAGTAAAGTAGAAATAAACCCCAAAAAGTATGGGTAAGGAATAGGCATCCGGTACACTGAAAGATCTAATCCTACATGGCAAAAAAATGGAGGAAGAGGGGAGGACTGCAGCACGGCCCCATACAAAGCCCCTCTCCTGAGGTGAAGTCTTCCTGGGGCAAATCCCTGTTCCCAGCTGGGTCATGGTGGCTACGGAGTGAGGAGAGAGGCCACCCTCCCCAGAGCACCGGGAAACTCCATTGACTGCTTTGCCCTACCTGTGGTATGTGGCATTATCACACTCCTTTTCTGATACTCACAGCAGCAATTCTAGCAGCAACACTATAACCAGAAGCCATGGCAAGCTTCAACTGTCACTGAGCTCTGCAAAAGAGCCTCTGCCACTTCCTTCTCTGATCACAAGTGTAAAGATTAACCATTTCAGATATATTTAGATGCTTTACTATTTTTCTAATTTAAGTGCTCAAAATAATTTCCAGAACTTTGAAAGTAAATAAAGAATATACATTTGTATTATTCTATGTATTCATATGCATATATTAATATTTTTATATGTATGTGCAGTATTGCAAAATAAACTTCAACTTATCTAGGGCAATGCAATTCCATTCTAGGATTTTGATGACAATGTTATCTTGCTTCTTTTCCTGGTCCATGAGACTAACAAAAAAATCTCTATTGAAAATGATGGCTTTATTATAATAATTAAATGAACATACAAAGGCTAATAAACAATATTATATTTGTGAACTTTTTTTGCTCAGTAGTTTCAAAAAAAATTTGGCATTTCATATGAAGGCTGGTCTATTCTAGAAAGGAACTCAGGGGTGAATACATAAGTTATACTGTTGCAGCTGTAGCAGCAAAAAGTTTTCATAGCAAAAAAGATTTCCACATAGTAATCCTTATTTCAATATAAATATAAATTCCCTTTCAGCAGACATTCAACAACAACAACAAAAACTTTCTAAGTGACAGAAATAATAACACAGATTCAAATTTAAAAGAACTATGCAAAAATTCCCTAACCACTTACCGCTGATTGACAAAAGGAGTGGAGAACTCTGCAAGCAGACGGAAGTTTCCAAAATAAGCCAACAGACCTTTGCTCTGGTTAGCAAAACAAAATAGACATACAAAAATCAACAATGTAGATGTGAAATCTTGATTAAAGTCTTCAATTATACACAGAATGATACAACGTCTCAACTTCTTTATAAAAACTGATAGTAAGCAAGTTTGCCAGCTATGGCCAACTTCCTTACAATTTCAAAATGAGGTTTTACTACAAAAGCTGCAATTGTCCTTCAGGTATCTTGAATCAGTAGTTTCTTATTTTAAATAAATCTTTAACAGACTTAAAGTTAAGTGTGATGGAAAGCTAGCTAGAGAAGACTGGCACAAGTAGTCATAGGTTATAATTATAATGATACTATTACTGTCTAAGAGAATTATAAATATTTTGCATTTCTAAATGTTTAAACAAGCCCAAACAGAAACACTGTGAGCTAAAGAAAAATGTCCCTGCATTGTTTTAGGAACGTAATTTGCCAAAGTGAAGATGAATTCCCAGCTCTTACTCGGCAGCAGAAAGGGCACGTAAAGCCCTTTCTTCTCTCCTCCTCACTACAGGGGAAACCCCTTGCGCCAGCTCTGTCCTGGTCCCTGCCGTGCCCTGTGGGTTGGAAGAAGAGCGCATGTTCTCCGCGCCGGTATCCAGATAACTGTGTGGTACATTTACACTGATACGCATTGTAACTGAGCACTTTTCTCCAAGTGACAAAGTACAGCATATTCTCTGCCTTATTGTTTGGTTGTGCTGGAAATAGTATCCCATTACACAATGGCTGGGTAAGCAGCAGTTTGCAGATGTAGAGATAAAAAGATTTTTTTAAAGAAATTTCAGCAGGTCTCCTGAACAACCCGTGGAGTGTGTCATCATTCCTCTTTCCCCCACCAAGCGTGCTAATACCAACTACTTCAGGCATTTCATGTCAGTTCGCACTACACCAAACAGAAAATCTGTATTCTTAATCAGTGTCTCTCCTATCCTGAAGAGCAATTTTTGAAATAAGATACGTATGAGTAACTTTCTCTGAAGATAAAAGAATGAGAGTAACACACAGACATCCAAGGGCAAAGCTAGATCCAAATAATAACTGCTTTAAAAGAAGTTCACACTAACACTACGCTTTCTATTTACTCCAGAAACAACTAATGAATTTTCTGCATCAGGGATTAGCCTTGGTAGTGGCATTTTCATTTCTCCAATATTCAGCTCTAATTCACTTTCAGCCGTGATAATATTAGTAGATCTAATTATCTTCAATCCGAAACAGAGTATTTACTTGTCAGTGTACTTCATCCCCTTTAAACCGTTACATGGGAAATCTGACACTAATCTGGCATCTCGACGCTTTTAATATTGTAAGCCTGCGATTCACACACTAGGCAGGGAAAGTAATGTGGTAAATGAAGGAAATTGTATTTTATAAGATTTCTTTATTTACTGAATGAGCTTTTCAGAAGAAATTCAGGAGCAGTATTCTGGAGGTCAATGGGATTTCTACCAACTCACATGGGCATCTTTGAGAAATTCCAGCAGCAGTGAAGAGTAACTAAGTTAGTCTTTATCCTAGAACAGCATCCTTCTCTTCCCCTTTTCCCTTCAATGTATGTACACCACAGATATTTATAGATATATACAGTTAAACATCCATTGTTTCCCCACCAAAGTAACCTTAAACAAGAAGTCTCAGAGGATCAGTTTGTGTCATAACAGATTTTTTTTTTTTAAATAAAAATGGAAAAAGAAAAAAAAAAACCACCCCAGAAAAAACACACCCAGCTCATTGTAGTACATTCACCAGTTAGGGATCACTGACCTATGGCCTTGCAAATACAGTCACAAGCAGAACATAACCACTTGAAACCACTTCCTTCTAATTTTCTAACTAAACTTGTGGTTTTATTTGAAACCCTTTTCTATAACCATGTGAAAAGCCCCTCTGTCAAAGTCTCTCTACAGCAAAAACTGAGAAGAGTTTTAATTTCAGCAGTTAAATAAGTTACACATTTTTGTTGAAAGACTGTAACGTTGAAAAGGCATGCACTTACCACAAATGACTGATAAAACCATTTAGAAAGTAATGACAATTGAAAATATAAATATGCCTTTCACAAAGTTAATAAACCAACCAGTGAAGAATTTTTTTAATCATTAAGCAAATGAGATCTATTAAAGCATGGTCTTCAATCTCATCTGCTTGTTATGTTACTGGAAAATACCGCACTCACCAGTACAAAATAGTAAGCATACAGAGCTGCCAAGTGATGTATTACAAAAAATTTGTCACCAATTGCCTTCCAGTAGTAAATAATAAGCAACAAATCTACAAGAGAAAAGAAATAATGATAAAGTACAATTTATTATACTACCATTGACCTCAGAATAGTGTTTCTCTACGTTTTAGAGGTATAAATGCCAACATATGGCATCAGTAGAAACTCTCTGAATTAATTATCTCTGAAGAGAACATCTTTATCCTAAAGACTTTATTGTAGTCAAAGCATTAAGCAACAGTATTCTTCCAACAATTGCCATAAATTATTACCTTCCACATCAATGGAAGTACAGAGGCAATAGCTTTAGCTGAAATATTTTGGAAGGAAAAAGTGGATCCAGAATCTCATAGCAAGACTTCACACTTATGAACTCAAAAATTTGGAACAAGTGACAAAAAAAAAAAGGGCAGGGGGGAAACTACAGGGGGCATAGCCAATATACAAATACATGCAATAAATGCAGGGATCTATTATGGGGAACTTCCAAATCAAAAAGTAGTTATATTAGCAAACAGGGAACCATTTACCAAAAATATTTTGGAAGGGGCACTTGGAATGAGAAACATGTTTGCTTTATTTAATCACAATTTTCCAATTACTACAAAAGTGATATAGTGGACCTGAGTTAATGTTGTAAGGAAAGCCTTGACAGAAAAGTTCTTTCTTGTCCCATGACGGTCTGAGATTTCAGAAGATTTTCTTTTCTATACTGGAACAAGCAATTTCTGCCCCTACTTTCTCCAAATGAGTACTTGGACTGGAATATTAGTGACTAAGGTTCCAAATCAAAGACTTTACCCCTGTGCCTTTTATATCTCCAGTGAGTGCCTTGATCTCTTTTATATTAGCTATCCTCAGGCAGGACTCTATATCATCTGACATAGCCGCTCCATTTCCTATTAATAATTAAACATTAACTATATAAGGAAGTGAGAGAGAATGAATGGCCAGGTTCAGGTCTCTGTTCAAAGGCATTCATTAATTCATAATGAAAGTCTAATGCATAATTATTCAAAAATAGATACCAATGAATTTAAACATGGGACCTGAAGTTCTTCTTATGGAAAAAACAGAGACTTAAATTAACCCACTGTTTAACTGGGTGTGCTGATCACCAAATTATCAATTCCATTAGGGTGAGAAATCTAGTCTGAGAAATAATCAGGTCCATGGTCCAGTCTCTGACCAGAAACTCCATCCTAACATGAGAAGTTTTCCCTGAAAATAGTCCAAGCCACAACAAGTTTTTGCTTTGGTAAGTCAGCATTATCCCCACACATCATAAAAGAAAGCTCCAAAGCATTTTGTAGCAAAATTCCCATGCTAATTTTAGTTGATAGTGAATAATTAAGAACACAAAATATATGTAGGGGTAAATGTCATACCAAGAAAATAATTTAAAATTTCCATGTTTTATACATGACTAAATTTTGGCTTAAAGTGAGACTAAAGGGTGGGTGGGCAGGATCCTATGGCATCATTTGCCTCAGCTTGTATTGAGGGTTACTAAAATTCTTCTGCCAGATTCTGAGGTCACAGGAAGAAACATACGATAAAAGAGCTATGAGTTGTAGACACCCTGAAGGGAGTGAAGGGCACTGCTTTAACACCATCTCAGTTGGCTAAAGGACAAAACTGAGCTGGAGTTGGTGGTTGTGTATCAAACCATCATAAAGCCACACAGTGGCATTTCCTCAGTGCTTGAGGAGATATCATTCCATCTTTCACATCCGCTGGCAAGATCCTGTGATTGCACCACAACCCACAACTCCATTAGCGATTTTAAAAGCCACAGTAGAAACTGTATTGTATACACATATCACATCTCCAGCATAGTGGCTCACTATAAATATATAGGCATAGTGACTCAATATAAACATACAGGTTGTGTGTCTTATATACACATTACATAATTACCAGAAATGAGGTAGCCTGTGGTAATAGCAATATTCAGTTTCACAATTGAAGGGTCACCCCTGTAAACATACCAAAAACACATGGTTACAGCCTTTATAACAAGGTAATTTGCAAAGGACATACACATATGAAACACGAAATGTCCATCAGGTCACCTTATTCTTGGCCCATCAGTAAGATGTTACGAGATTTGGTTAAGAAAGGCCCTAGTCACAAAAATGGATTCCTTTTCCACCCAGATATAAGACATCTGCCTTAACCAGGATTAACCCCCGCCTTGGGGTAGAGACTGCCCCAAGAGCCTTGCTAGAGACTAGAACTGAAACCCAGCAAGTACCCTGAGCTGGCTTCTCTGGAAACAGAGGATAAAAGAGAACAGCCCAAGCAGTGTCTCTTAGCACTTTAACTGACACTCTGTGTCTCCATTTTTGTTCTTCTGCCAGTGTTAGAACTTTTTTAAGGATGACAAAAATATCTTGCTCAGCTGGTGCTTTTCATATTCATAAGAGGATGGATGCTTATAGGGATAAACAGAGTAGAAGGAGACATGAAAGGAATTATTTGCCAGTTCTTTGGAGCCAAGGAACCTTCGAGGAGAAATGCTTTTCAAAGTAGTTTCATACCTTGTGTCCCTTCCCTCTTGGTGCCAAACATTCAGCAGGCAAAGCTCTTAGTAGCACAGACACGACTTTAGTTCCTCTAGGATGTTCACCAAACCCCCACTTGTGAATATAGCTTAAGAAAAGGAAGCATCCACATTACAGCAAGTAACATTTGTTCTTTCCTCCACTGTCCTCTGTGCATTCCTACTTTGAGGAGTTTAGTAAGCAAATCTCTCTTCCTCAGCATAAAGATCATTTTTTTTTTTTAAGTTGTGCATCTAATCTAGATGTTTTGTGTAAGTATGAATTGAGCTTCAAGTGACAGGTCTACAGATTTATAAAATGTGGACTGCTCAAGACAAGCTGTGAAAGCAATCTTTGTTGTAAACCTTTCAAGAAAAAAGGAACATAACTGTGCTTACAGCCACCTCCAATACAAAGTCTACCTCAGCTAGAAAGCAGTAAAATGCTATTACTTACTATTTTTTAATCCTGTTGGAATGAGGCAGTATTATTACAATCTGTTCACTAAATTTTAAGGCTTTCTTAGTGTCTAGAACTAACTGCTTCCCTGAGTGAGAAGGTAGCTTACAAGAAAATAGAAGGACTCATAAAACCAGAATTCTGCCGTTAGGTGAGGAAAAACATTACCAGGAGACCCTGGAGCTCACTCCATCTCTTAAGATTGGCCATAGAGGCTCTCTTAACTACAACTTGAGAGAGGAACATTTTTCCATGGCTTCAAAACCTGGTTTCATGAGTTACGTAGGTTGTGGGCTGAGTCCTTCTTTAGGTGTAGCTCTTCTGAAAGTCACAGCTAGACACACAGAACAGACAGATGTGTTCTCACAACTTTAGCAGAAACTCTTTAAATAGTTACAGCCCTCCCAGCTGCAGCAGCGGCAACATCATAACTAAACTTGTAAGTGCTCCCAACATACTTCAGCACATCATCACCAAGATTAAGCCTGTGTTCAGGAACCTTCATATTCTTCTCGAGAGAAAACGCAGAGGACTAAGTATATGAAATTGGTTCCTTGATATTGGTAAATATGACTTAACTGGATGAGACAGGGAATGATTCGCTTCCCTTCGTTCTTTCCATGAGAATGGTCACCTTGCACAAAACCTTCTCTAAACTTTCTAAACCAACACTTCAACAACATATATGGCTGCACTGCCCATCTGTCATCTCCCTTCAAGAAGAGTCCATGTTAGAATCCCAAATTAATCTCAATTAATGGAAAACTTAGAATTTAGTCTAAAATCTTCTAGATTTCCTGATCTGTCTCCTTGAACAGGAGTGCAATGGAGCTTATGAGCCCTGATGTTTGCAGCCTAGTTTTGATGCAAGCATGAGCCAGGAGTGACAAACAGGGAGTGACTTGAATAAGCAAAAGGCAAGAGCTATCTCTTTTCTGATTGCTAAGGAGATATGTGTGGCAAATGAATTACACACGAACACACAGAGGCAGATACAACAAACAAAAGTCCACATGACCGACTTTCTTCAAACTTCTTTGCAGATACTTTGCAGTTACAGAGTCATAGCAGATAAAAATAAAATGCTAATCAACCATCAGACTTCAAAAAGTGTAATGACTGTAAAGTGGACAGTCATATGAAAAAGCCTGCTCTTCTGTGAAGCTACAACTTAATTCACTTATCTAAACCTTCCCCCTCTCCTTATCTGATCTCTACCACCTCCACATTTTCTACCATGTTATTCTCACCACCTCAAAAACAATTTCTACATCGTCTGTTAGCTAGTCTGTATTACATATAGAAAAAAAGGCAGAGTGTTATGAGAAGTCCTAGACCATCAAAAAAGGTGTATGTACATAACGCTGATGCTTCCTTGTAACTTATCAATGCTCCTGTCTTTATTATCCTTTGTTAGGATCTATCGTATCTAGTTTCAGGCATTACCTGACAGTAATACCACATCCTCTCTCCATTGAACCCAAACCCTTAGCAGGAGTCCTGATCCCTTTCAAGACATATGGGTATCATCACTACCATGCATTTAAGCTTCACGTGAACCCAGAAGTTAGGCTGACATATGCAGAGGCTCAGAACTTGTCATCTTCCATTATAGAGATAGATATTTTTAAATTCCACAGAAAAGAACTGATTAGATACTGTCATACAGTCAATGACTATACAAAGATGGT